TACAATAGCATATGGTTCTTCTTTCGTTGGTATCGATTGGAAAATGTGGTCATGAATGGGTATCAACTGGAAGATGTGGAGATTATTTTCGTTCTCTTGTTCCGCCTATGGCACGTTTACATTTACACACATTGTGAAATGTTTGCTGTCCCTTAATGAGTAACAGCTGAGAGCTCAATATCACTATCAAAAAATGCTAATCTTGAAAGTGCTCATATTCCAGGTTCTGCAAACGCCATCGTCGTAAAAGACGATAAATATGCAGTGTTAGTCAAAGCTGAAAGATGAATTAACAAACGTTCTCCATGATTCATAACCGTCCAGTGGCTTCGTACGTTTCTCAGCTTTCCCTTGCAAAGGCCCATCAAATCTGCATCTAAGAGTTGCATGCAGTGTGTGCAGTGAGACGGGAATGTCTAAAACCATTCCATTTTCTAAACCAAAATTAATTGATTCGATACTGCAATGACTTTCATGATTGTCCAGCAAACAAAAATCATTTGGTCATATTCGATACATTTTGAATGTTTTTGTTCATGTTCAAGAATATCGTTAAACAACTACAATATCATCCATTAAATATTTGGACTGTTGACTAGAACTAAGCTCCCAATAGGGGCTCCACACATCAAAATGTCATGGATGCTGGTTTTGGGAGAAATAAATACCGGCGGTGTAAAGTAGCCAATTGCGCTGACAATCATGCAGACTGTAATCATGGCATCATGGCAATCTCTAATCATTCGCAGAAACAATTTGCCCAACATGGCGTGCACCTCCCTCAGCCACTACCTTCGTGACCTGGACTACAAATGAAACTCCAGTTTCGACAATGTTATAAATATTTTCGGGAGTGAAGACGCCAGATTTGAACACTTTTTCATAGTTATCCAAAAATCTACATCACGTTTGTTTTGCTAACACTTAGCCTGACTGGTATTTTTGTGACAAGCTAGATTTAAGTGGCGCTTCATGGATTAGTCCACCCAACTTGAACCGGCACATTTGTCTAAATTCCAGGATTCTCGATACATGTAGCCTAACTAACGCGCGAAGTACACAGACAATACCCTATTTTTTGTGGTACCATAATCCGCACTGTAAATTGGAGCACTGAATAATGTACCTTTTCAACTGAGTCTCATTTTCAGCTGTACACACTTGCCACGTCTCCTTGCGCATCCCGTACTGCACATCTGGTTGAACGCCACGTCTGGGTTCTTGCAAATGATGTTTCAGTAACCCTGAAGTCTTTCCATTCTTTCAAGCTACTAATCGTAAAGAAATTCCCTCATTTTCCGCTTCAAAAAGTAACTCCTTAATGTCGTCGTTGCTCACGGACGGCTTGTCCCATTTTTATGTGTGTTCGCACCGTCTCGAATATAAACAAAACACCAAAGTACACATATCTTGGTCCTAGGGTTGAAGTTTCTGTTGGAATACAGTGATTCGGTAGTGCTTCCATATTTTTCTAATATTGATTACTTCGAAATATTTCCTCGCATTGGCGGAAAATTTCAAATGTTGAAACATGCCCGTTGTTCAACCCTGTTCCAGTCTCCTCTAATGTGAGACCGAATATGGGCGTGTGACGATCGATATATTGTCAACCTTCTCGACGGTCTTGGTATAAAGCATGTCTCACAGTGATTTCCATAGAAATTTATAGAAATCGTCTCTCCACTGTAAAAAACAAACAAACAATCAAACAATCATCATCATCCTAAAGGCAAAACGTGCTTTGTCGTTGCCGCCATGACATTCTATTCACCACTGTTCTCTTCATCTCTGTATAGTTTGTAAAGTATAGTACGTTTTGAAGAGATTCTTCTGAGATTTTCATTCTAGGTCTCCCTCTTCCTCTATTTTCTACTATTTTGAAGTAAAAAATACTTAACAATTGATTATGTCTGAAAAATGTGTCCAAAAATGTTTGTCTTCACCATAACTTTTTTCTAAAATTACAACATTAGAAATCCTTTCTCTCCAGGAAACCTGAAATATTCTTCGACAAAACCACATTTCCAAAACTTTCAAACGACTCCTGTTCGTTCGTAAAAGTTACCATCCTTTACATCCGTACCATAGTACACTCCAGATACAACTCTTTAGAACATACAAAACTCACCAATTTCGTCGAAATACACTTGATCGGTTTCATGTCATTGAAGAATAAGAATTGAATTTCAGCCATATCAATTATCATAAATATTTCATTTAATTCACTTTTTGTTGAGAATAATATCTGAAATATATAAAAATAGATTATCCTACTATTCGACCTAGACGTTTGGTTAAATATAATGATTCCAATTTCTAGTATTCTAAAGCTCAAGGCATTTGTCACATTTTCAAAATGGGTAATCTGACATTGAACTTGAGGCGAGTGACAATCATATTTGTCATTCATTCTCGGTGGCCTTGGTATAAAGCCAGCACCTCCAACGCATTCAATGGAAACCTTCTCTCCGCTGTCTAAAATACAGCGCACTCACGCCCACTAAAAAGCGAAGACAGCGTTCTTCTCTTTCGTACACCTACGCCAGCATCCACACTTTCTCCGTTGTACGTCAGCTGTATGGGCAGGGAGCTAACGGTAGCGTCACTTTCGATTGCTCTCATGTTTGACCTTCGATCTCTTGTACCATGTGGCAGAGATAGTAAAAAGTTTATTACGCGGTATCGCAATTTCAAGTGCGTCTGTTTTTTGCGAGATTTGCGCTGTGTCACAATGGCAAATTTTACGACAGTGAAAGGTCATCGGTTGAATATTCCCATGTTGATTGAGTTTGCAACGATTTTTACTGCGTATAGAGTATTATTTACTGTTTGCATGCGTGCGGTATTTTCATAGACGTGTTTTTCACACAGCTACATTGTATCTAACTATCGTTGGGTACTTAAACTATGAGCACTAGCTCGGTTGGGGATGTTACTAATTTTCAACGCGTGCGAAAAAATCGAAAGAAAACTGTGTAGCCTTCGACCTTCTGAGAGGTGTCTATAATTTCGTTAGATACCCGAGAAATAGAAAAAATTGAAAACAATAAAACAATTTCGATTTTAACTGAAAAATGCTAATATTTGACTGTGCTATTCCACTGTGAACTCGTTTTCCGTACAGCACGAATTATCCCACCGGTTCGTCACTGTTTATAATGCAGCTGACATCTGCGACATCAAGGAGCAAGAAAATATGCCGTCTGCCTTTAAAAATTTCTACTCACAAATTACATTTTGGAACAGCAAATTGTTGATGTTCTTTGCAACGGACATTTTTACTGTGTATATAAAACACTATGTTATTAAAGTATTGGTGAAGACTGTTTTTGCGAAAATACTTACTTATTATAGTGTTATACGATAGTATTTTATTTGCTGTACTTGAACAGTGTGTGCTCCATTTTGAAAAATACTTTTGTGATTTTTATTTTTTAGCAATTTTGCTGCTGCAGAACACTAGTATTATACTATAGTAAAAAAATAACCAGCGTTTAAGAGCAGTTTGAGGATCCACCTTGAAATTAAAGGCAAATTTTCTTGTTTTTCCCCCTCCAATTTCGCCTATTTTCAGACGCATTCTATTACCTCTCCAAATTGAGCGTTGAAATGGAAGAATTAGTCAGCAATATTGCATTATGGTTTTCTTCCAAACAGACCAGTTAATTGAATTTCCTTTTTTCCGACTTGATTAAAGACAAAGTCCGGTGCAGACAGATGGTGTTCTTTTTATTAAAATAATTAAACGTTGTTATTAAAATGTTCATTTACTGCAATTTAGCATATTATATATTTAGGTGCTTAAAGTACATAGCACGATAAGCACGGCTTCAGTTCATATTTTATATAACGGTATTGCAAAATTAAGTTAAAAAATAAAATGGTTTTAAAAGTTGGACGGATCACAAAGCTACAATTATTATCGAAGAACAAAAAAGAGACTAATATTAATGCTCTTCGCATACGTAATAATTGCTTGCCAAGCTTTAATTCATGCCAAATTTATGGTAACTTGAGCTTGTTGAAATCATGAAAACTCTAAGAAAACATCCGTAACTTATGTAATGTATTCAATTAGACACCGGAATCGCCAGTTTTCCTTCCTTTATATTCAAACCAGCATCCGAATGTCGAATTCAACACCTTGATTTTCACAGCCATTTGGTCGTTGATTCTTGTTCCAAATTTCAGAGTAATACGTCTTTCTGTAAGTTGGTATAAATATATGGTCTTCTTATTATTACCATTATCAATAATAATAATAATAATAATAATAATAATAATAATAATAATAATAATAATAATAATAATATTTAACGGTGATTGATTTTACTGAAGTTGTTTAAAAACGATTTTGGATGTATTCGTCCATTTGATCATGTAAATTTTTTGTGTTTCTCAATTTGTTATTTTTGCTATTTGGTATTTTTTGTTTGCCATACGAACCGTTAATTTAGGAATCATTATATACCGTTTGGATGAACACTAGGATAATAGTGATTTTACCATATAGTAGTTGACAGTGTGTTTCCCTCGTCCTCATCTCTCTCATTGTGTGCAGTCCATTCCAAATACTTCTGGCACTTCACGTACTCTCCATCAACCTAAAAAATAAACACATTTAATTCGTAGAAATGACACTTTGTTCTTTGCGAACAATAAAGTGTTCTGTTTTGTGATAGTTTCTTTTTCGGGCGCCAATTATAAACCGTGTCTCATTAACTTCTAGTTTACCATTTTTCCAAAAGAGACAATACTAACTTTTAGTGAAATTATGTGGTCATTTGTTGTTGAAATAGCAGTTTAAATTGATCTCATTTAAAATTAATGTATCCATCTGTATTGATATAATGATTGGCAATATTTCATTGAAATGCTAACATTCTGCCATTGCTGTGCTTCTTTCCTAGTTTTGACTGGCTGACGAAATGTATCAGCGTGTTGATACAGAAATAGCACTCGGTGCATTTGTTAACGATATATTTTTGTCTCAAAGAATAATGAGTTCTATTTCTCTTGCAGCTTACTTCACCCGTGGCGAATACAACATTATCATCGTCGACTACTCAACGCTTGTCGTGGAGCCATGCCTCAGCCAAGTGGAGTGGGCCCCAAGATTCTGTGCAGAATGCATCGCTCAGCTTGTCAACTACCTAGCTAAGCATCCGAAGGGGACTATCCCTGATAAATTACACCTCCTTGGTTACAGCGTTGGGGCACATATTGCAGGTCTCGTAGCCAATTATGTACCGAAGGGCAAGCTCGGCCGCATCACTGGTGAGTCGTTCCATACAAAAAGAAAAGCAAATAGCAAAATATATGTCATTCTGGGTCGGCTTAAGTGAAACAATAGCAGCTATTGCTGCTGTTGTATATTCGAATGACTTAGCAAACGGATAAGAACATACTTGTATTGCACTAAGTGTTTTACATAAATGTTATGTAAATGTGTGTCATCCATAATGCGACTTCTCAAGGGCAACGAAATTCCTGAGCTGGTCCTGAAACTTTACATCGCAGTTCACTCTTCTGGTGTTTTGAAAGTTGTGTGCTTCATTTCCTATGGAAAGTAAAGAAGGGTGTGAGCAGGTGGATTGTTCAGCTTCTCGAATTCTTTATTGTAGTATAATGTAGTGTGTATGACAGTTTGTGTAACTGACGACGTATGTACTGAAGGCGCTGAAATATCAGGAAAAAATTAAGAAACATTAAGGAAATATATATGTAATGTAGGCATGTATATTTTCCTGCTCAATCCTAGTTATTGCTGAATATGTTCAGATCTTACAATAATAAATAATTATTTTTTTTAAATTACAAATCTTAGAAATGATAAGTACAAAATTCAGTAGGTACTACATCCAAGATAATTAATGAAAGAAAACCGAAGGGTTTTAACATTCTTTTTCAATCTTGCCTCAATTCTGTATTAATAGACAAAAAAACATTTTTCTTGTACTTACTTGTTAATGTTTACTTGTTAGAACGATAATTCTTTATTATATTTTTATGCACATCTTTTGATTTTTCCAATACTTTATTTCTATGTGTATTGTGTAAAATGGCAGCCTGCAGGTTTTGTATTAGGAGGGGTGGTATGTGTGTCGGAACACTCGCACTCAATTCGTTACTTCAGAATATTGCTTGAATGAGGGCAAACTATTGCATGTAGTGTACGACAAATTTGTAAGCAACGAAATCTTAATTCTTGTCTACTTGTAAAACAACTTTTACGTTAGTAATTGAAGACATAATTGTGCTCGCGAAATTAAGAGATAAAAAATAACATTTGTAGCAAACAAAATAGCAATTTATGAAATCAGGTGAAAGGTTCAATATTTTTCTTGGTCAATACTCCTAGGAGCGGACTCTGCCGAACGAAACACTAGCAACGCGCTGGCCCCACCCCACTCCCAGTACTCCACTTTTTCACATGCCTCCATTCATTCCATGCACTAGCTATGGATGAACGACCCGATAGTCTGCTATACGGCCCATTCACAAAACATTGATAATTCGCTTAAGGGGTAAGGCTTCAGCGAGCACATGAAATAAAATTTCGTGCTCGAAACTTCCGCTGGGGGTATGCAATTTAGGGTATGTTTAAAACGTACTGCAACTTTTCCCAAGATTGCTTTTTTCGGGAGGGTTGCCACCGCAGAGCCCTTAAGGAGTAGACACCAGTGTTTACAGGATATGAGTTGTAAGAATTAATAAGGGTTAAAATATCTCGGAAGGAGAGCAATAGACAAATTTCAAATTACCTCCTTGACTGCAACCTTATATCGAAATCTTTCTTCCGTAAATAATTAGAATTAATTTCCAAAATTTTGAAGACAATGTTTTTTTTTAATTCAGTCTTCAGTTAAAGCAATACCTTCGAACCATAGTTTATGTTGCCCCTTTTTCACAATCAATAGTTCTTACTGAATTTCATTAAAACTGTAACTACATTGCAGACCAGGGGACGTCCTAGACACAGGTGCCAACGTTTCGTTCGCCACTCTGCGATATTCCTCAGGGCGAAATGCGTTTCCTTGTCTAACATTCATGTTGTCTAATCTAAGAGCGAAATGCATTTCGCCCTGAGGGAGGTCGCAGAATGGCGGCTGAAGCGTTGGCACCCGTGCCTAGAACGCGGCATCTCCCATACAGCCACGTAGTCACTGATTCCGACCGCGGAACCCTACGCTTTCATCCAAATGTTCATTATGTTCTCGCAATTTCAAAGAAATGCATGAACAAACGTTACGAACAGTGTGTTACAATCAAATAATTTTAAGTTCATGTTTTCTAATTTCCGAACTCCGAAAACTTGTCCATTGCCCGTCCAGGAAATGGACTGTATTGTTCGGCATTTTCAACTTCGGCGTCACGTGGGAGGACAAAGCTACCCACTGTTTTTGACTCGTATGCACGCTCTAAGAAATCGGCACAACAAAGGTCTGCCATGATTATCCATTACTTGTATCGCTCCCGGCTTGCGAATGTTTTATCTGATTAGGGCAGGAATTTCCGGAGAAAATAATTTTGCAGGTCGCCAGGGCAGAAATCAATTGTGTTGGGCATTTTATCATGCCACGAATGTGACATGGCACACTTTGAAGGTATTCTATCCTTTGAAAATCAATCGCTCACAGCTGGTTATGATCACACAAGCTTTGTGGAAGTCAGTATGCTAACACCCCTGAACAAAAAGCTTCTTCTGCACTTCAAGGATTAGGCGGCTGACTGTTCCGTCTTCACATATCAAACCATCTTGTGCGTGGACTTTCTACAATCCTTCTTGCTGTAGGGTTGTACTGCAGCATTTCTTTAGGTAGCCTTTTGTGCCCCATTTTTTCTAAATGGATTTTCCAGTTTTGTTTGTACAGTTGTATTCAACCATTTAAAGTAAATATATTTCATTTAACTTCATTAAATGTAATTTCAAATTAATTTTTCCCCATAGCACGTCACACACAGTTTTTAACTGTTTTGACGCAAATTTAAATAAATAAATAAATAAATAAATAAATAAATAAATAAATAAATAAATAAATAAATAAATAATAAAAAAAATATTCATTTTTTCGTTTTGTGAAAGAATCCAGGTTTCACTCATATAAAGAACTACTGGTGTTGCCATTGTTTTTATAAAATTTTAGTATTGTATCTTTTCTAGTCTTATTTCTTAATGTTCTATGTAGTGTGCCGCTTATGTATTGGAACTTGTGCAATTTATTTTTTATATCTTGGCTCCAGTTGTAACTTATATCACATCCCAGATATTTGAAATGTGATACTTGTTATATTGTTTGGTTTTCCAGGCATATCTTTGCTCTAATTGGATAAACTCCGCCATGACCTTTTCTTTTGTTTGATATTAGAGAATAGAAAAATCACATAGAAAAAAAGCGCCCAACATAATTATTCGTTTATATACCATAACTATGTTCATAAATTTTATTTCAAAGGTAGATTTGAAATAAATATCTTCACAGCTTTTCAGCTTTTAGAATTTGACATATAGCCCTGTACAGCAGCATTACAAGCAAAAATTTGATAAAATGTTCATTTAGTATTAAAAAATGGCGTACTGTTACTGGAAGGTGTATATCTTTATACAATAACTACTTAGGTGATTACGTACAATGTAATTACAAAATTTATGAAAAAGTTATCAGGAAAAAAAATTGTTTTCTATGCTGACATCAATAATATTGAAATTCACCAAAAAATTAAAGAATACTTCATCCCAGTTTCAAACTGAATAACTTCCATATTTCAGTATGTACTTTTTCATATTTTATTTCATAGAACACTGTGAGAATTTAATGATAAGCCAAAGTTTGTTATAATTTATTTTCATAGGTCTTGATCCAACAATTGTATTCTACATGGGCCAAAACCGCTCAAGAGACTTGGATCCATCAGATGCACACTTTGTAGATGTAATTCACACTGGAGCCGGAATTCTAGGACAATGGGGTCCTAATGGTCACGTGGACTACTATGTAAATGGTGGTACTACACAACCTGGTTGTATTCAAGATTCAATCATCAGTAAGTAATAGAAGAGAAAAACATTACATAATGTTTTTCATGACATACTAAATTATAAGCTTCCTTTACACTTTGTAAATTTTAATAAAGCTCAGATCACCAAGAGCCTGGACAGTCCAAAGGATGCAATTGTGAATAATGTTTGCGTATACTTTTCAAAAATTTGGAAATGTAAGTGACAGTGTATCATATTTCTGGACCAATTTGTGTAACTGAAAATTAGCAAACAAAAAGTGTGATAACTGCCCTGTAAACAATTGTCTTTTTTCATAAGTATAAGCCTCTCATAAAAAATAAAACCATAATTTCTGGTAATTTTTTAAGTTTGTTCATTGCAATAATCTTGTTTTTGTTATTGTTAGAAACTCTATCATGTGACCACACGAAGGTAACACCCTACTACATTGAGTCAATTAATTCCAAAACTGGATTCTGGGCATCACCATGTTCCAGCCAAGTATTGTATTTCTTGAACTGGTGTCCAGCACAAGATGAAGATTATATTTTAATGGGAGAAGATGCTCCACATAGGTAAGGGATTACAATATTATTACAAAATATGTTTGTTTTGAAAATGTTCAGTAGTGTAAGATTACTGTTAATCTTTTGTCATGTTTTTAATAATTTATTTGGTTATTTTAGTGCACGTGGACTATATTATCTCACAACAAATGCTCGAAAACCTTACGCAAAAGGTTTTCCAGGCCGTAAAAAACCTAATCAGGTTCGAAGTACATGACAACAATCAGAAGAATATTTGCTTGAATTTCATGTCAATAACATGATGATAAAGTGAAGTGATTTGTGTTCATGCTAAAAGTGAGTGATAAACCTGCAAGTTTGAGAAATATGTATTGCTTCTAAATACTCAAGAATATGAACACGTAATATGAATTCTGTGATTATAGACGATGCAATCAGCATCTGCAGTTCAAAGAGCATTTAAGGAAACTTTTACCTTCTGATGTACATATGTAAAAATAGTTGATGGATAGAGAATGAAGAAGGTTCCTTAAAACAAACATGCACTGTGTACTATACCACCAATTTAAAATTTTATTTATAAACAGGGAAGACCAATGCATGTTCATGACTTTGATTTTTATGACCTAAGGGGCAATAATACTATAAAGTACAACTTGCTGGAAAGTGTTTGTGATCCAAATGTTGCAAGAATTTTTTATAAATAATTTCTAAATGAACAATACTCAAATTATAAAATAGAAAGTGCATCATCACTGTTTCTTAATTGTTCAATAAAGCTTATGTCTGTGATATACTTTATTCAAACCTCTAGCTTTTGTTTTGCATCAGTACAAGAATCAAGAACACATGCTAATGCCTATCCCTGTTTCCTCAAATATTAACAAAGCAACTTCACAGCATTTCCCATTCTGGAATCTATTAATGAATCAAACAAGTTGCTAGTTGATGCTAAAGGAAACACTCAATCGAACGTTTTCTCAGCATTGAAATCAATGTACTGTTAGCTTATTTCCAAACTTTCACTAATGTATGAACCCAAATATTGAGCATGTAACATTAGTATTCTGATCATTTTTATTAACTTAATTTATATTGAAAAGAGTTTACAAGTTCCTTTCTAATGTTTCTAGCACACTAGTGGCCAGCACAAGAGTATTGAAATATTATAAATATAACCAAGCGTATCACACAGAGAGTTCATTGTCAACACACACCAATGACAAATTCTGAAAATCCTATTTGGCCTATAAGCTATCAATAAAAACCCTGTTTTGACTTGTTCTTTAAAATAAATAATAAATCAATCAATTTTACTGCACAATTGCAGAATTTGATTTCCAAATTATTACACATATAGTAATATATTAAGATTAAATTTGCTTTTTTTATGAGCATTCTGATGATGAATAAGTACAAATCATTACCTGGCTCTGAAATAGTTTAAGCTTTCAATACGAGTTCTTGCTAATATTTAATTTAGTCATTGTTACAAATGTTGACAGAACCTCACAGAAGTTCACAATAAATGAGTTTTTATCTTTAATTTAGTCATGTTTTCCACAATTGAACAGAAAAAAGTTTCAAAATCTTTTTTTAATTATCAAAGGCATTTAGTACACCGTGAGACCAGATATTTTAGTACTTGATCATCGATTATATGCTATTAGCAGTGTTAAAATATGACATTTTTCAAAATAATACATAGTAGCAAGAGCACATATATGAAAATAAGTGACATTGCCTGTATTCATGGTTTCATCATTTCATAGACAACACACACACAGTAGCATACAGGAAGACTTAGTGCCTGAAAGTCATTGTGACAATATGTATATGTATATATATATTTTACATGAATAGGTTAATGCAACTATTTCATAGCAATAGTGAAATAAAGCTTGAAGGCCAAGAAGAATACACTGAATATACTTATACAACGGAAAATTGTTCTAATCTATTATCAGAAATGTTTCAACAATTATAAGTTACACTATGATGAAGTGAGGGGTGAAAAATTGCTGCTCACAAGGGTTCTATCACAAATATAAAGAGAGTTTGAAACATCTTACTATGGACTTTCCAACATGACATGTTATTCCCACATGAATACATTACTCTCTTCAACATTCATTGATATGCCTAATTCATATAGTTTGCACAATTCGCCATTAATCATTGTATACAGGTACCAACACAGTACAATTTTCTTTAAACTTTGAAGCTTTAACACATATTACAGATTACAAACTTACAGAAAGTTTTTTATTTTTTGGAGAACATTCAACATATGTAGTACTGTAGCCAAGTTCTTTTTTTATCAACAGTGACATTTTCATGAAGATTGAAACTGTTAATACATATAAGTATCCTAGATATAGCAACAGCACAACAAACAGAAACAGTAAATAACATGTAACAATACAATAATGTTCATGCACTATAATGGATACACAAATAGTTCAAATCACTGTTTCATTCTGAAATGTCACATATACTTTTCACAAAATATCATTTCAATGAATAAATTTTCATGCAAACAATTGTGTGGAAAGGAGTTCATGTTTTCATGTTCCTATGTATGATTTTTTAAAGATCTTTAAAACTATCAAAAAGGAATGGCTTTTATAAAACCATTTGCACTAGCATGAAAAAAATCAAAGTAGGATATAAAATTGAGTGTTTGAAGTGTTATAATACTGTATTTTCTCTTCTCACCAAACACTTTAGTGTCTAAAATATAATCAAAACTCTGATTATGTGTAATTCCTTCTTTCATTCAGCTCTTCATGACTATTGAACATTATGTGATGTGTTCAATAATGCCTGGAATAACAGTAGCATAGCAAAGAAGGTTCAAATATCTAAACCACCCCTCTTGATATGAAACACTACATATATTTTCAAATCTTTAATGTAGGCCGATATTCTTCCAGTATTACAATTACATCCTTCACTGATATTTCTTCCTTCCTTCCTTCCTTTATCTATAAAAATTGTTAAAGAGGAAACAAACTGTAAGGGAACTAAAGGAGAAAAGAAAAATTTAAAATGAGAAAAATCAAGAAGTAATAGTATCCAAAGGGAGGTAGACCTGAAGGAATGGAAAAGAAAAGGAAAAATAGAAGTGAAAAATACTTGAATGCAATAAAACTGAAATGAAAGAAAGAATAAAGGAAAACAAGAAATAGAAGAAAGTAAATCAGTGAATTATTCCGCAATACAATTATTATTTTCAAATTTTATTGGCAAGGAAATTGTTTCTTGTTCAATTATTGGTTAAAAATTGGTATCATAGTTCCTGCAACTACTTAGTATTCCAGTATGAGAAATGCAATTTTGATTGATTTACGCAAAAAATACTCTTTATACATGATTGGAAAATGAAATTTGCATGAAAAACATGTTATTTATAAAATAGTTTTCATATTTGCCTATTTCACTCCAAATGAGAATAGCAATACAAAGTGTTATATTCTCAATAATTAAAAATACTTATCTGCTCTGATATTCACTTCCCTTAGATTGTAACAAAATGTGCAGGTATCATCCTGAGTGCCATATATACATTCAAATATTCTATGTGCTGAATTTTCACAGCCCACACCCTAGATAATCATGTTATGTGCAAATAATAATCATAATAGTACTTCCTTTCTGAATTATTAAAATGATATAATCTGAATTTAAATGATCTGCAGTTTTAATGAAATGTAGATATGAGGCAGAAAAATACCTATTTAGATACTTAATGATCATATAACACTATGATTCTTATTTCATCAAGGTTAACAATGTTTCTTCAAAGCTCATAAATGTCTAATAATATAAGGCAAGTACTCAGGACTAAAGAAGACACTTGAGAGAAAACCGCTGAAAATGTGGATACAGAAAAAAACCTTTCCATCTTATTCAAAATAGTAATTAATATTTATCCTTCCAGCTTAGAAGCCTGAAAAATGATGAAATTGTAAGTCCAGCAAGAAAATTCTTAAGTAAAGATGTATTTTTTCCTTTTTACCAAAATACACTCACTGATTTAGATTTTATAAATGAGGCTTCCTCCATGATCTCTTTAGTCGCCAAATTTTTATGGCCAATCTATGCCATCAGCTAAGGAAGGATTTCTTTTTATTTTCCTATTTTCCAACAATTTTGCTATTAAACAATCTCCATTCACAGTTTATAATGACTTTATATTTTAGACATTAATTTAGAAACTATCAAATTTGTGATGTTCACCTTGATGAAAAGAGTATGTAATTTTCCTGATTTAGTGATTGTATTTGAAAATAATTTTACTACAACAATCTATTAAGTAATATATCTTCCAAACAAGTAATATTCCTAAGCAATGATCAAATATATTTGTCATATTATTCTTTATATTTTAGACATAATAAAATCTTGTAGCATATATATTCTTACACATTAAAAGGAACTTACAACAATCATACCATATTCTGAGGTAAAATATTCAATGTGTCTGTGTGTGAGGAAAGTGCAGTGAACATTGACTTAATCAAAGCATTAAATTTTTCAAGATACACATTCTTCAAATGCATTTTCCAAAAGTAACGTTTTTGAATGACTTCTTGAAAGACCTAAATAAATTTCATGGGGCAATGACCATTGATAATTTCTTCTCAATATGCTATCTTCTTATTTGTGATACCATTTACAAATATTACATCAATGCGGCAATATATTAAACATTTCATTTTTTAACAAAGTAAATATTCAAGCACAGCACAGAAAACAACTATTTCTATATATTATTAGAAAGCGCAACTTCTCATAACAAGAGACATTTGAAAACAAATTCAACCATGCCTCACACCAGAATAAACACTGAAGACCATATTTGTTACATAGATATTTGAACATCAAAAACTAAATGTAGGTTACAATTCTTCAACAATTCATTCATTACAGCATTTCATGACCAACACAAGATGTAAATGTAATTTTGAAAACTTTTTTAATGTATGTAATGAGTACCCTTTTCTGTTGTTAGTCAAAGAAAACTTTTATAATTGTTCTGATTCATAATTGAACTTTTAAAGAGACAATCAAAATGCAGTTGTCAAACTATTTATCATTTCAATCATGCAAAAGATGCAAGAGAAAATATAGATTTATAGTTTTTATGCAGCAAAATAACATTGTTGAGAAAATACTGTCCAGAATTTTTGATATATATCATATCATGTATGCAGCACTCTTTAATAGTACTATTATATTAATAATGAGTTATATCTATTATAGTCCACTGATCTCTATGATTAATTGACATGTCTAACACTCTCCTTATATCAGTAGATCATGAAATAATAATAGATAAAGATAAAAAGACAAGAGAGAATGACATTTTCAAGAACACAGTAGTATAAAACCCAGATTTTAGTGCTCTAATTTACTCAGCAAATTAAAACATACAGATAATCTCATCACATGGCAAGAACTATTAGGAACAAAATAAGTAAAATATGGCATACAAGTAGAGTAGTGATAACTATCACAAGTTAGAGAAATATGTAAGTATGGTATGTTTTTTGAATTGCTTTAGGTTGATTGCTCATTTGGCAGATTATCATGTGTAATACATAGCATTTGTTTCTGAATACTTTGACTAAACAATATTCATTCTCTCAACATTCAAATGAAATTACACAAATTAGTTGCGGTTTTAAGTGAACTGAATAGGGATGATTCTCCGTTTCGTGATGGCAAAAAATAGAATTTTACTTAAATCTTATGTTTTCCATCTGTAGTGAGATTTTCTAATTGTCACTAGTTTGTACTTGCACCGTGACAGTATGAATGATTGTTCATAGTCAACTGATATGATAGGGTTACTGAAGTAAATTCCCTAGTTCAGTATTTGTGCCCAATGAATTATATAATACACACAACTGTTACTTATTAGTGTGTTATAAGTATTACTTATTATTATTCGCACTATGCAATATTCACATTGCATTTGAGATGAATACTCAGTATTTATTTTTTCATCATGTAAAATCACTCAGTCGTTCACTCATTCCTTTTTAACATCTCTGAAATCAAGTTAAAGAAAGTGTATAAATTCATAATTTTCAATTTTTCATTCTTACATTATATTAGTCACCAAGGCATTCAAAGCTTGATTATACTGTAGCAATAGCTTGAACATATACACATGCACACTTTTCAACACAATTTCATTTCAATGTCTGAGAACTTGCAAATATTCTTTCAAGCATAATTTATATTACAACTTTAGGTTTCAGGTTTTCAGTAGCCCAAAGTTTAAGGGGTAACAATACTATGTAGTATTGTACATAGTATTGGAAAAGAACTTCTAAGATTCTGGAAAATATTAAACGTTTAAGGAATCTAACTCTGACAAATTCCCTATAGTTGTACAGTACAATAAATATTTACAAATGGACGTACTACATTTGACTCAACTATGCTTACAGTGGTTGAGCTAGAGCAGTTATAAGCCTTTAGTAATGAGGGAACATCAGTAAATTTTTCTTCAATAAATAAACGAAAAGAGCATTTACTCATTCCTAATTCCTGTATAATAACATGCCTATTGCATAGGTCAACATTCACAAATGTACCACTGCAATTAAATAACTGGCTATTGTTTTCAATTAATTAAAATATTGTGCAGATGGCCTAACACGTTTATTACCCTATCTCTTTTACAGTATTTAAGATGAATGTTACAAAGTTGTTTATGTCAAGAGAAAAGAGAGACAGACAGAGTAAAAATCTCATCGCCATTGTAGACATCTTTGGCTACCAAGAATCAAAAGGAACACGTATGGAGCAAAAAGAGGTGTCAGATGCTCCTGTCCACTTGGAATTACAGGTTGCACCACTTCCACTGTAAAGAAGAGAAAAAAACATAGTAAATATTATTGACCAATTGTCCATTTCTGAATAAAAATTGTAATGCAACTTCAGTTACTGACTTTTTTATATTAGTTTTCTTGTCATTAGTAAAAAACATTCTCAATCAATTCAAAAATTGAAAGAAGCAGATAGTATCTGATATAAAATGATTAGTTAATGACATAATGTTACGATGACATATAATATTATATATGTCAACACTGTATGCATTGGTAATATTTGGAAACAACAATGGAAAGAATTGGAAGTAACATTTGACAAGCCAGTGGCAGTATACTGCTATTTGAAGAAAAATCTGTTTTTAATTTTGTAATTGTACACAGATGTCGAACAAATTCAAACTTTTGCAATTTTCAAAAATTTCAAAATCGTAAACCGTGAAAATCGGACATACGCCACCTTTACAAGTGCATTTTACTCTATTCTTGCAAGAAAATTAAAGACAAAAATTGAGCAGTTTTCGAGAAAATTCTTAAAATGTCCCAGGGACTTCATGCAAAGTACCCCCGAATTAAGAAGAATGTTTTTCAAAAACTGCTCAATTTTTTCTTTAAGTTTCTTTGCAAAGCATAGCAAAGCTTCGACTCAAACCAGATGGATAGAGGTTTCTTCAATTTGGAAAAAAATCTACGAATGGTTTAGGGGCTAGTGGTGTTCAAGACGGACGGACAGACGGACGCACAGACGGACGGACAGACGGGCGGGCGGACAGACAGACAGATGGACATTAAAAAACAAGATTTATAAAACAATTGCCAAATCCACTACCACCGGGGCTGAAATTTTACGACCTCACAGACTGAATTGCTGCAGAGATAACGCTAATGAGCTAACTCTGAGCTAATCTTGTCGGTCGAGCTGGTCGATCGAAGCCACACCACTGTTATGATCCTGATGTGAATTTTGTATACTTTTAAATAATGTAAATTATTTTAATGTTTATTGTGAGCACTTGCATGTTTTATTAATCTTGTACTGATTTATGAAGTAAACTATTTGAATTACTACTGTAAGTTATGAAATTGAATTTAATTCCTATTATAACATTAATTAATTAAATGTTTATTTTAATCAATTACACTAATTTTAACGTATATTTAATCAAGTAAATGAAAACTTTTTAAATTATTACTCTAAGTGAATCTAGTTTAATAAATGTAATTCTTATTGTAATTTTAATTAATTTCTAAACAGACGTTTCCTGATACTTTCTGAAAGACTATAAGCAATAAATTATTATTATTATTATTATTATTATTATTGCCATTATTATTGCTATTATTATTACCTGAGGCCTCCTCCCGCTGATAGTCGGCGTATTGAGCCGGAGCCACCTGCAGCCCCATGAAGGCAGGGATGGTGGACACGCACGCCAGGTTCATTTTGTTGTCCGCGCCGGCGTGCGTGAACTGTACGGGCATGGTGAGAACGACCGTCGACGAACTCAAGTTTTCTCCTTCGCTCTGGTGCTGGTGAGGGAAGAACCGCAGGTAGTTCTCTGGCACCTGCAACACACGCGAGCGCGAGCGCCAACTGTTTAGACGCGTTGCAAACAGAGCCATTTATTATTATTTGGCGTGCGGAATTGCTAGAGGGAGACTGCCCTTAGGCAGTGTTCCGCATCCGAGTTTTCAACCCAGGCTTCCTTGGAAGCCTACCTCCGACGCGGGTCTGAGGACCTTATCGAGCAGACGCGCCACGACGGCGGTCCCCTGGTAAGCCTGGGGATTGACTCTCTTTATCCGCCAGATGTCGGCCTCAGTTAACTATATCCGAGCTATCTGGTTGGGAGAAAGTGAGATCTCGTTAGGGTGGGATATTATCGGAGGGATTTAATTTTGCCGGGCATCTGCCAGGGTTATTTTACATGCCACAAAAGAGACATGGATACTGTGGATTTTCCATCCTACTAAAATCCATGCACTTCGGCCGGGATCGAAGTTTGGTACGTACTGTCCTCCCACAAACTGGAAGTTCAGATCCCCATGGGCAGATCTAAAAGCGAAATATGCCTGCAACGCATCTTTTGCTTCAGCTTCTGCATCAATGACCCCCATCTCGATCAGATTTTTCTTCCAATTTCCTTGATCCCTCGAGCTAAAGATGAAATGGCCGTGTTTTTTTTTTTGGTGTGTGTCTGGACATAAATGTAACTTCACTATTCGAACGATTTGTAGACTGATGTTTGATGATGTTTCCGGGCACATCAACTGCGATGGTCATGAGTTCCGTCAGTGCAGTGAATGCTTTTCCGCGGGAGATGGCAGTGTTCCTCCCCGCTGGTTGGTGAGTTCCGCCGCCGAGCTACACGTCGACATGCGGGATTTCACCTATCTTTCACCATCTTTTTCTCGCGGGGAACCACCCCAACCGCACTCTATGCTCCCGTCTGGTCTCCCGGCAGTATGAAAGCATAGTATTTATATTATTGTTTATTTGGCAGTCACAAAATACACCTGACATGCAGTCGTGCTGGATGAGGGTCAGAGGTACCTAGGCGTCACTCCTATCCTCCTATGGTAGTGTAATGAATGAAGTGTGTTTGTGTGTGTGTGAGGAGAAAAGAAAGGACAAGGAAGAGGAAGGAAAGATCGTGCGTGGTCCATCACCATGGCCACGGCAGCTTGTTGGGTGTATTTCTCGGGCATTCGTCAAGAATTGATAGGAGAATGCACAGAAAACTACCGATCAGAGCAGTCGGCAGCTAGATCTCTCCTCCAGACGACTGTATTCTACCTAGCTATATACATTCAGTGTAACGTGTGAGAGGATACTTAGATATTATCTCTGTTCTGGGCATGTGAAAACTGCGCAGTGGCATTTTACTAAGATAAAACAATCTTGATAACAACAAATTTCGTCTTATATTTTCACAATAAAGGTTCAATAATACGTTTTGTCCATCGTTTATCATCAAGGAAAATGTCCCCTCGTTTTTTATAAACACGAAAATTATGAAAACCAAATCACTTAATTCTATAATACTCAAGATTAAAAATGAAAAATAATAAATGAACATAAATATAAAGTTTGAAGTTTGAATCTCGATATAAAAAGGAAAAAAAAAATCAAAGAGTTTCATGTACTCATGTTAGAATTCTGTCCCTCACATAATGTAAGTCAACATGTTTTTTGACAGGATGAAAACAATAACGGAGAAGCGAATATTTAATATTATTTAATACGAATAAATGGACTCACGACGATAATTAGCATTTTCTCATCGCGAATAATGTTTGACAGGACACGACCACATCGCATCTGCTTGCTTTTCTTCCACATCAATTTATCGCTAATTGCATAGGCGATACGAATTTCACAGTCACTACCGAGTGTGTTCAGCTTCCGTAGATGGTAGCTTTTGGTAGACAATGAAATTGCTTGATTGATTGTTTCCGGACGCGCCAACAGCTACGGTCATTAGTCCCGTTAGTGTAGTGAATGCTTTTATGCCTGGAGGTGGGGGTATTTCTCTTACGCTGAATGGTGAGATCCGGCGCTGACCTACACGTCGGCTTGCGAGAGACTTCCTCATTTTGGTATCGTCCCGGGGGGAGGGGGCATCGCTCCAGCCTGGACAAGTTTCAAGCTCCCGGCTGGTCTCCCGACATGGTAATATCAGGAGGTAGTATAATGTATATAAGTGTAATTGTGCGTAAATAAGTGGAAAGGATATGATGAAGAAGAGGGAGGAAAGATAGCGCGGGACGTGGCCCGTTTGTTAGGGTATTGCTCCACTATTCGCGTGGTCGTGTTGGGAGAAACCATAAAAAAACTATCGAACATAGCAGCTCGCTGGCAGAAGTCTCCTCCAGACAGTGGCTAAATTTGAACCAGCTATATTACTAGTGTCAAAAATTTACCACCGTAGACAACGAGAAATTATGTAAGTCTAAGAAAAGTAAAAGATAATAATGAGATATATTGCAGAGAGAAAAAGGAATTGCACAGTTTGTTAAACATAAAGTCTTTAAAAACAGATGTGAACGTACGGCAAAACAAGAAAGTAAACTAGTGGTGCTACAGAATGGCACAGAATTTCCTGTATTCGTTTTCTATTCCCTTTGTGCTCGGTTATCTATTCGAACTTGCCTGCTGCCATCTATCGCCACCCAAAGTATATTTTTTGACTTAAATTTTTCGGTTTCCTAATTGTAGAGCGGAAATATTATTGGAACCGCTTTTTGAAAATTTCTGGGGGGCTTCATGTAAAGTACATGCCAGGTCGACACGGGTTACTTCAATTTGAAAAAAATCTTATGCATGGTTTAGGCGTTAGTAGTGTTCACAGACACCAGACGGACGTTTTGAAAAAAACAACACTTTTTCGGTATCAGGGGACATTAAAACGTGTATTTCCGTCGAAATCACTAAATCGATTTTCCACGGCATACATAACTTTCCCTATTCTACGTATATTACTCCGTAAAATTTAAAACGAATGTCCTTTTCGGTAATCTGTGTTTTGACCGAAATGTAGGCATACATTTGTGTACAATATATCGCATGTTTTTCTCATTAACTGTAATGTATCTTTGAAAAGATAGAACTTAAATACACTATATTTATGTTCTTTTACGGAAGCCTTTTTGATTTGTTTATGAGACCCACATTTTTTGGAGTCGAGGATAATTGATGTTTCGTGGTACACCAATCTAAAGAATTTCGAAGCAAATTGCTTCTCCTTCTTCATGTTTAAATCATTTCAAAGTGTTTGCAATGTTATTTGACGCATGTCTATTGTACTTCTCTATCATATTTTAGATGTTAACGAGAATGCTATTTTCACAGTAAAACAGGGCAAAAAATACATACTTAATCGTTATGGAATATATTTTGTGAGAGGTTTCGTTACATAAAAAATTTAAACCATTGTTTTCATCTTCACGCGCAAAAACGTTTAGAAATGAAAGAATTTAGAATTGTAATGCGAACCAAGCAAAACGAAGTAAATCCTTTTGTATTAGTACGAGCGGTAGCTACAATTTTTGCATACACTGGTAGAGTTCAACATACAAATGTCACTTTCATTTCTATACTTTGTTACGTTATAATGGTTCGTATCATATTTGTGAAGTAGATATGAAAAAATCATTGAAATTGACGGAGAAAGATTAACAGTGAGTCTATGAGAACAACACGTAAATAGTAAAATCCAATACGAAGAACCTATTTGCAGAAGAAATCAGCCATCGATAAATAAAAAAATATAATGTAATTAACAAGTTTTACAATTTTATCTAAACGGCGACGTAAATCGATAAAAATGAAAGTTTTATCCCTCCATTTCGAAAATTGTAGAATTCGAATAACCTTTAACTTAGAAAAGCAACGCTGGTAGCTGCTATCGCCACTGCCCCAAAGTATCAGTAATTGGAAGGTTTGCTCCCTCCATGAGCCGGAAATTCACCTGAAGTACCTTCGGTGACCTTCGGTCACCTTTGGTCAGGTTGAGACGCTTGCCAGAATCGAATCGAATCTATATGTTGACTGCTCTGATCATTGGTTTCCCTGATCTCACCCAGACGAATGCCAGAGAATAACTCTTGAATACGGGCTGTGGACCGCAAGCGATCCTTCCTCTTCTGTTCTGACCCCATTTTCATCCGTAGAGTCGAGCGAATTGATTACATACACCGGGAAAGGTGGTTCAGTCACTACAGTGCCTGTGACCGAGAGGTCCTAGATTCGAGTCCCGACAGTGGCATGATTTTCGACACTAGCTTGTCAGACAGGTCGAATTCATACGCTGTCTGGTTGGGGGAAACTCCACTAGCCAATGGTAGGTCGGCGAGGGATATCGCCAATCAGCGTGTGAAGATCACAATCACCTCCCGAGGGAAAAACATGCTTACACTTTCGGGCCAAATGACAGTAGTTGACGCGCCCTAAATCACTAACAACCAACCAACCTTGATTACCCACGCTCGTAAGGACTACCCCACTGATATAGCGAATCACTTACGAGTGTCGGGGATCCGGGATAAACACGCTATGAATCCCCCAGAGGCAATTTGCGGCTCGTGATGGGATAACTGAAAAAAATATAAACTGTTTTAACGGGGTTAAAGTAACGTACATTTTTAGAATAGCCGAAAGGCAACCTACAGGATGAAGGCACTTGTAGTGGCCATAGTTAAGGCCATTTTGTAGTTATCTTAAAATTCTTGGGCTACAGTACTAAATTCGTCATGTGAAACTCAATGGGCGATTATCACACTTTTTAAATAGATTCCTTACCTAAAATTGGCCAATTTTCAATATGTTCTGTTCTTATTAATTTATTCGCAAACCCCGACTTTTATCACGTTGTGGCCATTTGAAAATAGCAACATTTTTGTAACCTTCATTTACTTGGCTCAATATTGGTCACTCGATATTTTACCCTCTAAACGTGTTTCATACACTAAGTCCAAACTAGTGGAGCTACATCAGCTTATACTTTCTCGGATTATTTCTAAAGCAATTTTTGAAAATTCAGAGAGTACAATAAAGTTCTGATATTA